TTCCATTGGGCTAACGCAGGAGTCCAGAGCCCCAGCGAGAGTATTGCCGCTGAGTTGGTGTACATAACGTCTAGGGCCCTGGAGGAGGCGCCGCGTCGACGTGCGAGACGTGGGCCTGACCTCTCGGATGATGTGGAGAGCTATACTGGGAGCTTGTCGCCATCCGTCCAATCTGCCGGATCGGTTGTCGAGGTGACGGTGGCCTATGGCCGTGCCGCGGGTCCTTCGCCTCCTCCGGCTTCTGCGGCGCGAGCCCTGGGCTCGGATGCCGATTGGGGCTCGGATGTCCAACTTCCCATGCCACTCGCGGAGCCAGAGGCCCGCCAGTGGCGGGTCCTGCTGAGACAGAGCGCCCCCCCGACGCACCTGCATGTATATCGCTGCAGGCTGTGGCAGCCGAGTCCGAAACTGATTCCGAAGAGAAAGTTTCGGAAGCTCAATCGGTGCCCGACGTCAAACGGCAGGAGGGGCAACAGAGGGCGCACCTCTAACCTGGCGGCCGTCCCATCGCGATTGCCGGCGATCCCATAATTCTACCATGGGTCAACACTGACATGGGCTATATCCCTCTCGATCGAATCCTTCGTAATGTTCGCGCAGACGTGTTGCCTGAGTCTGTCAGAGCGGCGGGGCACTTCCGACTCACTGGCGTACCGAACCCCCCGAAGGACCGGCACATGAGGAACGGCGGCGCGCGGAATGCGCGCGCTGGGGTGAGCATCCCCCGCTGCCTGCGCCTGGCGTGGAAGAGGTGGGGCGATTGATGGTCGACCCTACAACTGCGAGGAAGTTGGAGGCAGCGCGTAGTTCAGGTCTTGCCCTGCCCGTTCCGCACTGTGCCGAAGACGATATCCAGTGGATCGACCTGCCATCGAGGAGAGAGAGTTTACGGGTGACGCTGTCCCGGAGATCTCCGCGACCTGAAAATGACAGAGTGTCCGCGGACAAACGTGTACAGGTGCGTTGCAACGCAATAGAGACAAATGAGTTGCCCGCTGCACCGCGCAGTCGTGGCCATATGATTCCCTCTGCTGATCGTCGTCTCTGCGCATGGTGTAAGAACATGGAAGAAAATGCCGCGCGTGTAGGCGCGCTGCTTTTGGAAATGGCAAAACAAACCGCGGCCGATGTTCTCAGCTCAGTGTGCGAGGCGATGCGCGTCGTTGAGGTTCTTCGCCTGGAGGGATGCGACGGGCCATGGGCCCGACTGCTGCGCGCCCTGGGTGCGTTGCCCAGGCAGGCCGTGCACGTGCTCGGCGTTGCAATGCAGGAAGATGATGAAAAACCTGCGGTCGCTCGGCCACGTAGCTGGGGTGCGAGTTTTGGGCGAATGTGATTTCGCGATGGCAGTGCCATCCATGGTCATGATGTCGAGCGGCCCGCCGTGAGACCGATCCTGTGTCGTGCTTGCCAAGGCCATTCCCTGCGAGTGGTCTCGCCAGATCGGCTCGAAATCCGGTGCCAGCCACCCGACAGGTACCTGCAAACGGCAATTGTTGCGCCCTTGATTCACCGTCCGCACTGCAATCGATGGTCGACAGAATGATTGGCCCATAACGAGATATCACGGTCAGAGGCAGTGCAAGTTCATGTCGGCCATTCCGGTGCAGCAGAAGGATTTTCCCTCGCCTGACGACGACGTCGTCAGTAACGGCGAAGGTGCTGCCAGAAAGGGGGCATAAGTCTTTTCGAACGGGGCTGATGCCGTGTTCTCGGCGACCCCCTGAACCAGTTCCCCAGGTGGTTTCGACCGAACGGTTTGTCTCGGGCATTTTCTGCTGGAGGTCTTGATGCTCGTGCCTTTGACGTGAGCGATCCTGCTAGATTGTCTGGTCATTGCTTGGCAACGGTCTCGTCGCTGATTTTTGACATGGCCGTGCTCTGGAAAATGCCAGACGGTTCTCTCGCTATAGAGTTTCGCCCGTGCTGGAGTGACTTTCGCCAGATCATGAGAGTCGTCGTTGCTGGAGCACCGGTCCAGACAATGTCTTGAATCGCGGTGTTCGATCGCCGAATTCATGGAGTATGGATACGGCCAGTCGAAGACTCAGGTTGTGTGGACTTCACGGAGAACAGGGGAGTGTTCCGTCGATCGGGTGACCCCAAGGACATGTTGGCTTGAGCCGAGCTCAAGATGAAACTTCCCCTGCCGCTGCCGTGGGGCGATGAGTACCTCGTCTGCTCCAACGCGTGCGGAAGTCGCTTGGGCGCCCTGCGTTGCATGCGTCGCAACTTGATTATGCACCTCCAACCGTTCATCGGCACTCCTCACCGCGCGTAGGCCGCAAGGCCGCGGGAACTGCTGGGGCTCGAGAGTCGAGAAATCAGTCGTCGAAAGAGAGACCAGGGACATTGTCCCCAACCCTGCGCAACTTTGGGGGTTAGTGAGATTCTCGCAAGGTCGCCTGACCGAGAGAAGATCTCTCAAGAGTGAAGTCCGATGGTTCGAGTTTCTGGCTGCAGATGAAGGCTCGGGAGCTTCTGGCTACGCTATCAAGAGTTCTGCGGCGCCCCAGCCACTGGCCGAGGTGGGGTCACCGCTGCTGTGCCGCCGCACGTGTGGTGGCCATGCATTAGCAGGCGGGTAATTCCATCCTGGGGCAACTTCCAAATATTCGAACTCTTTGACTTGGATAACAGCCGCCTTGCAGATGCGGATGCTGAGTGCCCAGCGAGGGGGTGGGAATTATGACGAGAAACGGTCGGCGCCACTCGCGAGATCCGAACGCTCGATGAATTAAAGAGGCTGGGGGCCGAGCTGGAGGTGCATTGGGGCCCCCTGGGGGATGGCGATCCTGGGGCTGCCGAGAGCGAGGGCTGTGCAAATGTTGACGGTGTCAGCAGTTCGTCTGAGCGCGAAGCGCTGGCTTCAACGACTCGCAGGCGCCCCAGTGCATCGCGCTCTTCCCCGCCGCGATCGCGCTCTGTCATGGCGCGGACATCGGGGAGTAGCTGGGGAACAGGGCGCGTGGAGAAGCGCCGAGGGAGTCGAGGGCCGCCAGACCGACAGGCAGTGCTTCCTCGGCGTGAGTCGCAGCCGTCGCAGCCTACCCAGCCTATTTTATGGGGGCGAGATGAGAGGGCCCCGCTACGTGCGCTGCCTTCGACGGGAGCTTCCGGCTCTGGGTCTGGCGTCACCATTACTAGGTGTGGATGCGCGGATGTTCGCTTGATCGAGGCACCGCCCGTGGGCGCCCCGCTAACGTGATTGTCCAGGGCAGTGGCGATGCGGTGACAGGACAAGGGGCTAGTTTTGGGGCAGCGCATCAATCTGCCTTTGCACGTTTCGGGGCAGTGCCCCGGGCGTGCTGATGCGCCGTGGCATTCAGCAGACTGGGGGCACTACGAGCTGAACGCTGGGCGGCGGGCGTCAGCGCGCCAATCTTAACAGGGGTGGGACATGCCGAGTGGCCTTGGCTAGTCCCAAAGAGCTGTGGCGGGAGTATTCCCTTTCCTTCCACTGGCGCTGTAAAACTTTCCTAGGGGTCTGTGACGTGGGGGGCCCAAAGTGGCCTTTGGGAAGGGGTGAAGTCTGCTTTTCGCTCTCGGGACCTGCTGAAGCCTTTTGGCGTGTCCCGCTTCTTTTGCTCGGGAAGATAGCCGACGTGCTTGCGTCCAACCTTGCGCGGCAATGCCTCGCCGGGACGCCGCGGGGGGAGTCATTGCTAACGCTCCCTTCGCTAGTTTAAGCTGCTCTGCCTCTTCCCTCCGAATGAGGGTTGGCTGGGTTAGACGGGCGGAGGGACTTCGCACCTATTGTTGTGCCAAAATGGCGCGCGCGCGGCCTGCCTCTTGCCCTCTCGGTCGGCCGACCGGCTTGCGCATGCGCGGGTTCAGGCACTGCTTAGCGGCTCCTGTGGCTAGAAGTACCTCGTCAATCCGTCTGGCCCTCGCGGCTTCTCCGGGCAATAAGTGCACGGATAGCATGCGCGAGCAAATTATGATTTGCTTAACCGAACGAAGCCTGTGCCTGAATTCGCGATGCATCGGCAAAACAGTGGAGGGAGGGGGGGGGACGGAGGTGGAGGGGGAGGTTGGGGGAGGGGGGGGAAAAAGGGGAACGGAGGATGGTTGGTAGAGGGCGAGAGCAGCAAAGGGGTGGGGATGGGGAGATTGATTGGCTTTGGGCACGGGACAGGGGCCGAAGACATTTTTCACCACAATCGCCTGAAGGTTCGCTCGCGCAGCCTTCTTGAGAGGTGGTCTGGTGGTCCGTGTTGAGAGCGAGCATCTTGCTAGACAACCAGATCAGTATCAGTATCGGGAGGGACCAGAAGAATACATATAATGGGTGAGGAAAGTATTTGCGTCCTATGGGCAGGCGATTTCGCCCAGGATGATGGACATGCTTGTGTGGAGGGGGCAGTGCACGGGAGGCAGTGGGATCAGACGAGGGTGCCTTGCAAAGTCATATCGACCAAGATCCCATTGCACAGCGCACAGAATTGCGCAGCCAGGGAGACAAGGCTGGCACCTGACCAGTATGTTTCTCGACGCATATTGTTGGCAGTGGTACGAAATTTCCGGCTATGGCGGGTGAAGATGAGAAAGAACGATGATGAGGATTTGCGAACGGATGGGGGATTATATGCATATGTTGCGTTGATTCGGTCAAGAATGGTAGTGGTTCGCAGTGCGAGTCCGCATCGACTGGCTGCAGCATTGACGTCTTCCGCCCGCTGCTGGTGCTTGTCGTCCCTGCACATCCTTTCCTGCTTCCTTTTCCTGCGTCTCCTCCCTCTTCTGCTCCTCCCTCGGCTTGTTCCTCGCTGGGACAACGGGTGGTCTAAGAATTTCGACCCTTGCGCTGTCAGATAATCCCAACTCTTGCACGCCCTTTCCTTCCGCCTCCTGTCTCATTTCGGTGCCAAAGATAAGGTGCTTGTGCACTAAGCTTCCAGTCTCATGGGAGAGTCAGGGGCCCGCATGGGGGAGCGCTTCAGTTTCTCACTCACTTGAGGTCCTCCTCCATTTCGTTTCCTCGCCAGTCGTCTCCAATTGTCGACTCACTGCCAGTCTCCTCGTGCTTCTTTTTCTAGCCATTCATCGTCAAGTCACCTTCAATCCCCTCGGAGGTTTTCGCCAATTTTCCACTCGGGGGCTGCAAAGACATGTCCTCGAACAGGCCGCCAGAGAAGGACACAGTTTTTCTTTCAAGGGCTTGCGGGTAGTATATTGTTTCGATGAGGTAAAGAGGTGCGGATGCTTATTCCCATTATGTTGAGCCACTGCTTCCTACTGTTTCAAAGCCATACGTGTGAATACCCTACTTAGCCAATGCATCAGTTCGAAGGGATACTGATCACATCGATTGTCATCATATGTGCACACATTTTCAGACGGACTGCTCGGTAACCCAGCTTACATCAGCATTGGGGCACATGTAATTGGCGAGCGTTTGTTATTGCGTATCGCTGGTTATTATTCAGCTGCCTGCGGCAAGTCCCGCCAGCCACCGTGCCAGTCCAGCATGTTGGGTGGCGACTGTTCGAGGGGGCACATGGCGCCATCACGTGTGACACTTCGGGCATCTGGAAGGTTCTGGGGGCCTATTGAGGAGGTCTTGGGGGCTCCTTGGGCCGTCTGGGGGCGCTCTCGGGCCCTGTGTGCGCTTTCAGAGTCCATCTTGGGTGGCTCTCTGGGTCGTCTTGGGACTCTCTTGGGGACCTTGGGGCTGTCTGAGCGCCTTCTTGGGCCGACTTGGGGGTCGCTCTTGGGCCATCTTGGTATCCTCTTGGGCCTTCTTGGGGCCCTCTTGGTCCTCTCCTGGGCCGTCTTGAGGTCATCTTGGAGGCTTCTGGGGTTGTCTTGAGCCGACGAGAGCTCGGAACAGCGAGAAATCGAGAATCCTTCAAACGTCTACGTCCAATCAATTATTTTGGTCTCCTCGGGCTTTGCTGGAGGCTGTATTGGAGCCCTCTTGGTCTTCCCGGGCCGTCTCGAGGCCATCTTGGGCCTTCTGAGGCCGTCATATTGAGGCCTCTTGGACCATTTTGGCGGCCTTGGTGGCCTGCCAGGTCCGTCTTGGAGGCTATCTTGGGCGTCTTGGACGCTTTGGAGACCGCCAGGCGCCAGGGAGGCGTCCTGGCCGCCCAGGGAGCCCTGGGAGTAGGGGTGGTGCACGCGAGGGGATGCGACTAGAGGGGTGGGTGGGCTCCTTCGAAGACTACAGAAACCCTGCAAGACAGCACTTGGCATTCTTTTACGTCTCAACGTGCGTAATGCACGGTGGCGGATTCCGGCTTGGGGGCTCAGTTCATGCAACCCATTTCTGGCTGAATTTGATTTCGTTTTGCTCGTTAACGGGAATCGGCCCACATGTTTAAGACATGGAAGCCTCTGTCATACATCACGATGAACGGGGAGTGCGAGGGGGGTGGAGGGTAATGCTTCTGCTGCTGCATTGCCGACGATCCGATCATTCTAAACGTTGGCTGACCCATCAGCTCTGCGGAGGACGGTTCAGTCAGTAATCTGCGAGGGCGCTGTCACGACTGTTACATGAGGGCCAGAAGCGATGAAGATAATCCTTCGGGTCATTGAGCCGTGGGTGGTTCCCTCAGGTGACTCAGCCTTGCGCGTTCCATTAGGAAACGAAGCCCGTCGCGGTTCCCTCGGGCAGCTGAGCGTAGTTTGGTCTGTCAGGCAACCAAGCCGTGCGCATTCCCTCAGGTAACTCAGCGTAGCGCGGGTTCTCAGGCAACCAAGCCGTGCGCAGTTTTCTCAGGTATTTCAGCGTAGCGCAGTCCTCTCAGTAACCAAGCTGTGCGCGGTTCCCTCTGGCAATTCAGCGTAGCGTGATCCTTCTGGCAACCAAGCCGTGCTTGTTCCCTCAGGCAACTCAGCGTGGCGCGGTCCCTCAGGCTACCTAGCGTAGCGCGATACCTCAGGCAACCTTGGAGGCAAGCTAGCAGGGTGCCAACGACCAAGAGCTCCGTAAGCTGGTGATGGACTGTTGCGTTCCTACTCGATTGGTCTCTTATCTGGATTTTTCTGCTTTTCCTCTTCCTCCTGCTCATACACGAGACAAAGACAGGACTGACGGAGTCCAACCGCGTTCCAGATGCATGCTCTTTTTTGACGAAGCGTGCCTGCACTCACACTTGGGACGACCGAGAGGGTGATTTTGTTAGTTTCAGTATTACCCAAACCAGCCCCAGTAGTCGCTTTCTGGGTGCCTTGGCCACAAACTGCAGCGCCCTTCGCAGGTCGCAGTCGCAGCAGCCGCAGCCGGTGGATGCTGCGACATCGGAGGTCTTAGACACGCAGGTGCGTGCGAGCCCTGCTCGCTGTTATGTTTACGCCCTCCCCTCAAGCGCACCGACCGCGAAAACGCTCCTGTTGCAAACTCCCGCTGCCCCTGATGAAAGAGTCACCGCTCGCCGCCAGATCGCGGGCGGGAAATTCGAGATGGAGAAGCGCCTCGGCGCCGGCTGCTTCGGAGAGGTACCCCAGCCCAGAGTCCCCCTCATTGGTCCCATCCGCGGGCCCTCCGCTGCTGTCTCTCTAGCGAGGACGTCTCTGGCGAGTCACCGTCGCCCTCCGTGTCTGGCAGGCCCAAACCGGAGCATCTTTTTTCGCCTCTTGAGGCCTCGTGGTCTGGTCTCGGGGCTCCTTTTGGGCCTCTCTGTAGCCCTTCTCTCGGGACCCTCCTGCGCCGTCTTGGGGGGCCTCCGGGGGGCCTCCGAGGCAGCATTTGGGCAAGCCTGGGCTATCTTGGGGCCCTCCCTGGGCTCGTCTTGAGTCGGAAGTGCTTTGGGCCGTCCGTGGGCCGTTGTCCAGAGCCGTCGAGCCCCTCTGGGTGCCGTCTCGGGGCCTGCGGGCCAGCCGCTCTGGTGCCCTCCCCGGAGCCATCTTGAGCCGAGGAAGCTCGGAAGTCAGAGCGCAGTGGAGGGCAGCTCGAGCGGCGTGGCTATGAGTGGTGAAGGGCGTTGTTTGGAAGGGTTCTTGTGGGCAGTGCCGAATGATGTAAAATGGTTCGAGTCTCCGCCAGCGGACGATGCCGACGACGACGACGATGACCAGGACGAGGACGGGTGCGGGGACGGGAACGGAGTACGAGGACGAGGACGAGGACGAGGACGACGACGACGACCCCGACGACGACGACGACGAGGACGGAGACTGGGACGGGGACGGGGACGAGGATGAGGACAAGGACGATGACAAGCACGAGGACGAGAACGAGGACGACGACGATGATGACGACGAGGACGGAGATGGGGACGGGGACGGGGACGGGGACGAGGACAAGTACGAGGACGAGGACGAGGGCGAGGGCGAGGACGAGGACGAGGACGACGACGATGACGACGACGACGACGACGACGACGACGACGACGACGACGACGACGACGACGACCCGGACAACGACGACGACGACGACCCCGACGACGACGACCCCAACAACGACGACGACGAGGACGACGACCCCGACGAAGACGACGACGACGACGACGACCGCGACGACGACGACGAGGACGACGACAACGACGACGTTCGCTTGCCCGTCCGCCCGACGATGCCGTCCGCCCGACCGACGATGCCGCAAGCAAGTGGCGACGGCAATGACGACGACGGGTCGGGCGGGGGCGGGTTGGGCGGCGGGACGTTTCAGCGATCAGGTTGGTCGGGCGATCGGGCTGTGCAGGCGGGGCGGGCGGGCAGGACGGGTGGGGCACCGTCGCCGTCGTCGTCGTCGTCTTCTTCTTCTTCTTCGTCTTCGTCGTCGTCGTCGTCGTCGTCGTCGTCGTGGTCGCCGCCGCCGCCGCCGCCGTCGTCGGCGTCGTTTTGGTGGTCGTGGTCGTGGTGGTCGTGGTTGTGGTCGTGGTCGTCTTCGCCTGCCCGCGGCGAGTACGGGGAGGGAGTGTTCGACCTCCTCTCCCCACCCTCCTTTGCGCCAGGGGGGGTGGTCGTAAATCCCCCCCTCACCCTTGCGCCAGAGTGGCGGGGTCGTTGCGACACCCCCCCCTGCCCAAGCGCACGTGAACAACGCTCTCTCTAAAGCTCGGAGCACCTTTGCGTTCCTCGTCGTCTCCACCTCCCAGGCCACCTCGAGGCTCCTCGGCCTCGGTTTCCCTCCTGGGGCTCTCCCGGCCAGCCCGTCGTCTTTGTCGTTCGTCGTCGTTCTTCCAGGCCTTCCTGGCGGTCCCTGGGGCCTCCTACCGCCTTCCTGACCCCTGCCTCCCGTCTTCTGCCGCTCGTTCATGTAAGAGCCAGGGCACGCGCGCCACTTGGCACGATATGTTCGAGCACCGTGGGCCATTAAGGACCTGGGAGTTTTCCACTACGTGCCAGATGCTCGGCAGCGGACTTCTCGCTCGTGACGTCTCCGATTGCAAACACGGTGTCTTTGAGTCCCAGCTTGGTCGGCACGTCTACTGTAGCTCTGATGGATCAGAAAGATCGGACCGGACGAAATGGCAGTATAGGGAAAGGGGGATTGCGAAATCTGCTGCATGCCGCTGGTTTCCGCCCCGCCGCCAGGCCCAGTCCTCGATGCATCGGCGCCTTCGGCGCCTTCCGGCGCTAGGAGGCGCCAGGAAAACCAGCTACGTGAGCCAATTCTCTACCCTTCGGAGGTGGATAGACCTCCTACCCGTCGATTCAGGAATGGGCCGTTTTCGGTCCGCGAGAGGGCATCGCGGCCGTCATCTTTGCGGGTCCAGGTCCGTCGGTTTCGGTCCCAGGCCGTTTTCACTAAGGGGAGGTTTGCTGAAGGGAGGTTTGTCCACCGCCGAACCCTGCCCTTTGCTATCTTACCCTTTTGCTCGCCCCGGAAAGAGCTCATGTACACGCCGGTCGTTGAAAGTAGGTATTTTTGGATTCCCAGATCCCAATCTACTTCAAGCCTTCCTACTTCACTCTATCCACTATGTCCACTATATCCGCCTTCCTATCCAATCCACTATATCTGCTATATCCGCCTTCCTACTTCATGTTTCTACCTACTTCTTCCGACCGACGTGTACGTGTCCACACGCAACGCCCCTCTGTCGGTGGCTTCTGCTGGCCCGAGCGATGGCACCTGTTGGCGCGCGGCTCCTGGTCGGAGCCTTCACGCACCGAGGGAACGCCAATCAGGTGCCAATTGATAGGTCGGAGAGAATAGGAGTGGAGCAGGAAGAGACGGATGAGAGGGGATGAACAGCTGCGGGAGGAGGACGGGGTGAGACGGAGGAGAGCAGAAGGGGGATGATGATGCTGCTGATGATAGTGGTGGTGTTGTTGATGATGATGGTGATGATGGTGATTGTGGTGATGATGGTGGTGTTTTTGTTGATGATGATGATCACCATGACGTTGACGATGACGATGATGATGATGATGATGACAGTGATGATGATGATGATGATGATGATGATGATGATGATGATGATGATGATGATGATAATAATAATAATAATGGTGATGATAATATTAGTGATGGTGCGGATTAAGATGCTGCTGATGATGATACTGCTGACGATGAATGATGAATGATGATGCTGATGACGATGATGATGCTGCTGCTGCTGATGATGGTGATGATGATGATGCTGATACTGATTATGCTTATGATGATGATAATGATGCTGATAATGATGATGATGATGATGATGATGATGATGATGATGATGATGATGATGATGATGATGATGATGATGATGATGATGATGATGATGATGATGATGATGATGATGATGATGATGACGATGATGACGATGATGATGCTGATGATGAGTATGACGATGCATGATGATGAGGATACTGATGCTGGTGCTGATGCTGATGACGATGATGATGATGCTTATAATGATGGTGGTGGAGAAGAAGATGGTGTATGTGGAGCACCCTACCTCTGGAGTAGCCCCACCTGCAAGACGTTAACCTCGATCCACTCGTCCCTCCCGAGGAGGTACGTGGTCAGCTCGAGGGTGCAGTCTGGTGTCCATGTCGGTGCCCAAAACCACCAGCGCCATCTCGACGGCAGCTGTCAGCTTGGTCGCTCTTGCAGTAAGTGTCGGCGCGTCTGCGAAGCAAACCCACCCAGACTTGCTCAACACTCGTGGTGCCGCAGTCCACCAGTCCAGTGGAAGTCCGTATCGACGTGAAATTCCCACCCGCGCAAAGTTGTATTCTGGGCACTCCTCCCAGTAATGTCTGAAACTCGGGGACACCGAACCGCACAGTTTGCAGTCCTTCCCCGAACATCTCCGCGTCTCCGAGGACACTGCTCCAGCACGGTAGATCCGTACCAGTCGTCTCTCGTCCTCTGAGAGGCGCTTGTAAAATTGCTTGTATATGGTATTCGACTCTGCGTCCACATCCACGTCCAGGATCTCAGCAGCATCGAACCTCGCGTCGTTGACCATAGCCAAGCATCGTATCCTCGCAATACAGCGTAGGACATGCTCGATCTTCTTTTCGTAGCGGGGGTCTCCACCAGGGCGATGTGTCCAGAAGCGGTTCTGGCCGTCCACCACCCCCTGGAGGATCTTCACCACTCTGTGATCGTCCGTTGGGTCCACCTGCAGACAGCAGCCCCGACGATCGGCGTATGAAATGAATATAAGGCCCACCACCTGCGTATGTCGCAATATCGCTTGCTCCAGAAAGGTAGACCACGCCAAACGTTCTTGAGCAATCACTTTGAAAGCCTGCAATGCCCCAGATAACTGGGGATGAAGGTGTACATGCTGTGCCCACCATCTGCCATAGCACCACCACTTGTTCGTCGACCGTGTGATCGCACGAAAGAGCGTCCTGCAGGACACCAACGGTGGTGGTGCTATCAGCGGGCATGCCCACAACCACAGTGGGCGAATCTATGCAACAGCCAGTCTGGCACGGATCTCAGCTCCCCCAGGCACAGTCCCCAGGGCACGTATAGCAGTATGGAGTTTGTCCCAACCTCCTCGTAATAATATCGGCTTCGTAGCATCCGCGGGCGTCGCAACGATCCCCAAGTGCTCTATCCTCTTGTGTGGTCGGTCCGTCCTGTCCCACATCTGCCTCTTGCGCTCGTTCTCCTTGAAGCTGGCCGCCGTGTCGAAGCGCTGCGTGTAGATGAGGTCCCTGGCGAGCTCCTCGGCACTGGTGCTCGTGAGGGACCTGTCGTCCATGAAAGCGTGGCTGGCTGATGGCTGCCAAGGTACCAGGGCCGCGATCATCGTAGCTGGGGCCACCGAGTCTCCCTGTGGGAGCCCTCTCGTCGCCCAGATGGGTGGCGCCAACGAGGAATTGACGCTGCAGTAACGTGGCCCTCTCCACGCGGCCACTGCGGTAAAGGTAACTGCTGCGGGCATTCCTGAACAATGATGGCGGTAATGATGATGATGATGATGGTACAGGTAAATGATGATGGTGGTAATGATGATGATGACGATGACGATGATGTTGATGACGATGATGATGATGATGCTGATGATGACGATGATGATGACAATGATGATGCTGATGATGAT